AGTCAATCAATCTTGGACCAAGTGAAGGCTGACTTCTCCCTTGAAGCAAGCAGAAATTCTCATACTTGGGCAGGTGATGCAAGTGGATGATGAACTAGAAAAACTACTATACTTGACAAGGTAAGGAGAAATAGAAAAAGGGGATGACAGTGGATAAGTTAAATAGATGAGACCAGAGTGTCCTTGGAAGAACCAGTTGTTGTTAATAGGGACAGTCTGAAATGGCAAATATTTTTGCCCATGCAGTCGCTAGGGCTAGAGTCTACCTCAAAGGTTCCTAACCAATGTATGTTGATCCTGTCTAAGAGTACAGATATTAAATATGATATATGACAAAGTTTTGGTTTGCAGTATGCCAGCTTCCCATTTTTTTAAAAAAATAAATATGGCAGGAGAGGAGAGAGCAGCTGCCAAGGGAGGCATACACATGTACATGAGTTTCCATGGACTTTCATAAGCTCCATTGTGGAGACCCTAGCCTCCAGATATTAAAGGTAGGATGCCTGAAGATGGTTCATTGTTTGCAAAGAGCCTTTCAGAAAGAGGAGGTGGCCCATGTATAGAAAGGAGCCCAATCAACATATAACACAAGATTTGAGATGATTAAATGGATCATTTTTTAATTTAAGGCAGCAAAATTAATAAATAAAAATATAATACCAAGAATTACACTAAAACCCCAATGCTGTAGACTCCTATTCCTAAGATTTCAGGTACAGTGAACAAAATCTGAATTTGGACTGCTTCGCCAAGCAATGGTCTTGCCAAATGACAATAAATTACATACATATTATATACATTATGTAAATCAGGATTTAATTAATGCTCAGCTTTAATTGATATTCTTCTTGGTCCTTAAAATCAAGAGTTTTTTGATACTTCAATATTTATTGTACTTCAGTGTTGTTCCAGAGTATTAGATTAACTTCCATGCAGAAAAAAAAAATTATATTGACATAGGAGAAAGTGTGGGTGTGCTCAAATGCAGCTGCTAACCCTGAGTCTTTAAAGGACCCTGTGTGTATGCCACCTAATTAATTTGATTAGTCCTATCTGTGCAAAGCAAAACTATTTTCTTTCAATATGCCTAGATTGCATCTCTGCTACGCTTTCTGTTGCAATCAATCACTTGTACACTCCTTGCTGTCATTTCCTTTTCTGCCTACTCTGTGCTTCTGGAGAAGTGAAGACGTTGATCTCTTGAGTCAGTGGTGATAAAAAAGGGTCCATTTTTCCAGCTTGAAACCACTGAGATTAATTTGCTGCCTCACAGCCTATCACCTGTTCTCAAGCAAGAGAAGGAAAGTGAACTGATCTGTTAGCATTTGACCTCTTCCAGTCAGCCTTGAAACCAGGTCACAACATTGTAAGGCATTGGCAACATGGATGGACAACTTCATGGCCCACTGCAGAAATGAAACAAATGAAGGTGCTATTTCATCTGTCAGCTCCTTTTGACATAATAAAGTACATGGGAATCTCCAAGCTGAAATAATGATTCTCTTCCCAGCATTTCCAAAATGTTATGACAGCAAGTTCCCCTTATCTAAACTATGCTGCTAACATTTACACCTTCTGAAGGTAAATGCCCGGCACTGCTATTGTTCTGCAACTTCAACAATTCCCAGGTGGGAGTGGGTGAGTGGGAATCATGACAAGTATCCTGCCAGCAATTTGTGTCTGAGATAGCATAGATTACTGTATCTTCTGTCATGCATAAGTGAGCTGGTACCAAAGGTATTACATTAGGCATAAGGAACAAGTGACTTAAAATACAAACAAAACATCAAAGAAATGGCTAAAATTTTAATTGGAGGCCAGAAATATTTGAGTACAGTAACTGTACATGTCACTTTCTCATCATCTAATGTCAATTTCAGTATCCTGCATGTTTAAAACTTTACTATCATTCATTAAATATTTATTAAGAATCCATTTGAACAATATTAACCATCTCTTTTGACCTCAGCATTAGACCCAATTTATGCATGCATGTCTCTAGATTATGGTCTGTAAATGTCAAGTGCATGTGTGAATTAGCATCAGATTACTTACAGCAGAGAAAATTTCTATGTCTGTGATGTTTACTCCTCAATTATTTTCATTGATTGTTCAAACATTTGTAGAGAGTTAACAAATGATGAACATGTTATGATAAATTGGCTTATAATTTGTAGATATGAGTGATGATCAAATGACACTGAATTTTCAGTACATTTCTACTCTTAAGTGTTGTAACTAACTATAAGAGTTTAACTCTAAATTTATTTATTAAGCTGATATTCAATATTCCAAATAAATATCTTTGGGTGAAGAATATGTGATGAACGCACAGCTAAAAAAACTCCTGATCTGGACAAATAATGTATTATCTCTCTATATGTGTGTCTGTGTTTGTATGTGGTGGGTGAGTCAGTGGAGGACCTAATACTTTTACTTACGGCACACTGTGCCTTAGGAATCAGGATGCAGTTTCATGGAGTTATTTTCTCCCATCTTTCCCTGTACGAAGGAATGTACTCCTTTCTCTGTGCTGGTAAAAGTGGAGAGAGGTCTTACGAAGTCCTCCTTCTTTATTCAAGGGAAGGCAGGGAATGATTACACCCCTTTCCCCCTGCACAGAGAAGGACGTTATATGCAAGAAGAGGGAGGAACTGATTGCCCCCTCCCCATCTCTTCAGATATGAAGTGCTTATCTTTGTAAGGGGAAGTGGGGGAAATGATAGTTTGCCCTCTCCAGCAAAGAAAGGACACACATGATTTGCTTTCTTCTACATTGGGATGGGCAAATTTCTTGTAACCAGCAGCTGTTCTTTCCTTTATGTAGTCTCTGGGGCCACAGGCCAAAAACATAATAATGTCACAGAAATATATAGACCTTATTTTTTCACTTTTTGTGCGTATTTGGTGGTATTTTAAAGAGAATTAATGTCTGAAATGGGCATTATTAGCCCCTTCAGGTCAACCCTTAAACACTCCCCCCAAACTGGCCAATAACAAAAAGCTGTAAAGTTTATTTGTACCCATTCTAGGAATGCTCTGGGCATCACATATGTGCCATGTGCAATATGCCATAGGCTATACATGCCTGACCTGTGTGAAAAAAGATGTCCTCCACTCTACTGAAGAGGAAGGAACAAATCATTCTCTTCTTTATTCTGCATGGAGAAAAGACTGGGGAGAACAGGCCCTGAACAGGAGTGCTGGTGCTGGCACTGGAGACATTATTTCATCTCCCCACAGCCGTTGTTTATATCTTATAATTTACCAATAATGGGCAAGAAATTTGGACCTAATTGTTTTCCATCCATATTCTATAAGGTATATTTTTCCTCATGTTTGCTACTTTGGGTGCTATATTGTTTTTACTTAGATCTGTATATAATTAAATACGTTACAATTAATGAAGCTCCCCTGAAAATCAAGATGAAATCCTATGCAGAAATACCAGCAGTAGATCCAAAGCTCTAGGAAGACTCAATACAGCTAATCATGTGGGTGATGAAGATCCTGCGCCACTTCTTCCCTTTCAATGACATCCTGTTTGTATAGTGCCTAAAGCAGTTGAGGTTTTTTTTGGTCTAAATGCTGCTGCAAAATAGTCATTACAAACATAGCTAATAAAACCTTTGCATCACTTATTATTCCTCTGAGACTAGTACTTTTTCCTTGAAGGACTTACCAATACAAAGCCATGAATGACAATGTTAGTTATCAGGAATAAATGGCCTCCAAAGAAGTTTCTTGTTTGGAAGTCTATAGAAGTTTTGTGAGTGCTTCTTTTTTCTCTTTTCATACATTCCACATGCTACTTTCTTTACTCTGATTGCCTGAGCTCTTTCATTGTTTTTAATTGACTGCATACAGGAGCATCCTGAACAAAATAATACTACCTTCTTAAAAGCAAATTTTAAGACCACTTACCTTATTTGTGTGTGTGTGTGACGGGGAGGGGGGATCATAAGTGGTGTGGTGAAGTTTCCTTGAAGTACAGCCTTTGAGATCTCTTTGAATGGAAAGAGAGTTATACTTCAAAGGAAAGTAGTCATTTAATCTGTACTCATATAACCAAAGCATTTTTTCTGCAAGAGACAACAATCCAAGAACTGCAGCAGAAGTGGGAAAGCTCTTATTTATTTATTTATTTATTTATTTATTTATTTATTTATTTATTTATTTATTTATTTTGGGAGAGTACTTTTATAGAATGAAGAAAAGCCTTTTCTTGAATCAAAATCTTTAAAATGTTGATGGAAGTATAATAGCAATGGCTGGAGAAAAATCTGATGGGAGCCAAAAATAATTTTGCAGTATAACTATCATGTTTTTTAGAAATCTTATTTCTATTTATTAAACAAATTTATGAAACTCAAGAGAGAAAATGTTTAAACAGATTACATTTCCATACAACTATCATGTGACAAACAAGACAACTCTTACTAATAAATAAGGCATCATTATAAAGAGAGAGAAACAGAGAGAAAAGAGAAAATAAAAGAGATTTTCATTTGTTGAAGCAAATTAAACTTGCATACTGCAGTGAAAATCAGCAAGTTTGGTAAATAACTTTCCATTGGGAACTAACCTGTACTTTTTAGAAAGTTTATTTTCTAATGAATGTTCTATCTATTTTTTGACCTTTTTAATTAAATAGTCAATATACACAGTTTTTTCATTCAGAATCTTTGAGAGTATTCCTGCTTTGAAAAACTTTCTGTGATGTTTTCCCAAAAATTCATTTTTTAGGGTAAATATGGCTTGGACTTTTCTAAAATATAGTCTCCATTTTTTTTTTTTAGAAAACTAATATTAGGGTACAGTAACTTCATAATTTCAGTTGAATTGTTTTTCTCTTCATACAATTTGCTAAAATGTGTATTGTTTATTTCCTGGTTAGTTCTTGCAGAATAATATATAATATATGCTATTCTTAAACTTTACATTATTGGTTGATTTTCTGCATTATTTTCATTTTATTTTTAAATTATATATCTGCAGCGGAAAGTTACAAGGAATCCCAGACAATAAAGATTAAAGAAGAGCCAATGGAAGTTGAGATTCATGACTCTCAAGCCTCTGTTTCACCTAGCCAAAATGTCAGTTACAGCACTTTACTCAGGCAAGAGATAACTGAACAGGTACAAAAGATCCCTGAAAGCCGTGTAGTCCGGGAGAGAAATCTCTTTAGCCAAGATATATCTGTGAAAATGGCTTCAGAATTACTTTTTCAATTGTCAGGTAAGTATTATATTTAGAGATTCACAGTACTTTTTCCAGATTTGTCACGTTCTGAATTTGCTGGGTTGATTATCCTAAGTGTCTATACTAAGTCCTAGAACTGCAGTATTATACATATTTGAAAATAGTCACAATGTATCAGTGTGTCTTATTTTGGAGCAGGCATGGTATGTATAGAATTGCACTAGAAGTCCTATTAAACACCATAGAATATTTCTAAATAAACATGGTTATGGTTATGGCTACCATTTAAAGCTCAGAAAAGTAGCCTTGTTTCATCATTTGACTCCTATGAAAAGTCAGCCAAGACTGGCTAGATGCTGCCACCTGACTGGTCAACCTTGTTTGCAGTATAGCAGAAGCTACTGTTGCATATTAGAAATTGACTTCTGTATTTTTTCCAAGACTTTACTAAAAGAGAAAATAGGGAACAACTCACCCCTAACAATTTCTAAGAAAATATTTAAATAATTATGTAGAAACATAAAAAAAAAGCATGCACAGCTTCTGCTTCCTTTTCTACTTTTGCTGTGTTGTGTGAAGTGCAACATAGAGGTTTACCTAAGCTTTCGATTACCTCTAGAGTTGTTTCTTTCCACCGCTCTATACAATATATGATTACACTCTCAGGGTTGATCTGTTGATATCTTGTTCAGTCTCAGGACTGACCAAAGTATCTTGTTCCTCTTTTTTCACTTTACCCTATTCTTCTAGCGTACCAAAGAGAGCACGCAGGAACTATCATTTAGGCCCCAATTACCCTGAAAATAGAAATATGGAACTCCACAATAAGCCACAGGATAAATATGTGTATCATTTCAATCAGAAGCTGGAGAGAACATTTGGATAGGTTAATAAATCCGTATAAATATCATTTCCCTATTAAAAACAGCCAAAGCTAGTACTTTCATGAACAAAATTTTATTTATCTCGCTTAAAATAATAATTTATTTTTCCACAGAAAAAGTGAGCAAAGAGCACAATCACTCTAAAGATAACACCATCACAGCTACAACTAGGTAAGTACTGTCCATAGCAGAAGAAAGTAGGACTCAATAAAGTTCAGTGTAACATCGGCTTTATAGATACTTAGCACTAGTGTCCATTATTACATTATTTCATATTTTAGATGATAGTATGTATCTTATGAAAACTCATGTATAGATAGATATAACATTTCCAGAAATGTTAAAGCAATTGAAAGGGGGAAAATATTGTTTTTTTCTCCTGGAAAAACTGGAACTTTAGCGAATAATCAAAATATCTGCAGGCATAAAATGATGTTGTTTTAAAAAATGTATTATATATAATTTTATTTCCTTATTAAAAATACTTGATGTATAAAAATTGAAAATATAGCTGATCCAGACATAATTACAAATGTATTGATTTGATTTATTTTTACATATTTTAATATTTGATACAGATAGAACTACAAACCTTAAGGAAAGTAACATCTCTTCATTTTTGCCTGTTTAGGAGAAGCAGTTAGACAAAAAATTAATGTTGAAAGAGAAGAAACTGTCAACACCATAATAAATCAAAGAAAATTATGCATTATGCTTTGTATTGAAGTACTTTTTTTAAAAAGCACTTTTCAGGGGAAAAAACTTGAGAAGAAGGAAGGAAGGAAGGAAGGAAGGAAGGAAGGAAGGAAGGAAGGAAGGAAGGAAGGAAGGAAGGAAGGAAGGGGGGAAGGGGCGGGCCTTAGGTTTTCTAAATTTCCCCCTTTTTTAACCAAACCTTCACATCTCTATGTATGGTCCATGATCTAGCAAGAATTAAGCACATTTAAATTCCTTTGACTTCCCACTGAAACTATGGGAATTTATTATGTCTGGATTATGTCCTGTTTGCATTAATGTTATTGACTAATACAATGTATCTTATTCTGAGATGTGATTAAAAATGCAAGTCAGTCATTGCATGAAGCAAGCTCATGAAATAAATTCTTGATGTGCATATAAAGTATAAGACTATATTCATACCATGCCCCCAAAAGATTATTTTCTGTGCTCAGCTGTTGTAAGTCACCATGGATGTGAAACCTCATCATCTTAAGGCCAAACTGCACATCAACACATTGCTTTACTTTTTCCTTACTTAATCATTGGTGTCATGTGGATTATTTTCGGAACTACTTATGTGTGTAAGAGGGTAAGATGGGCAATCCTCTGCAGCTGGGATCTGACAGAAAATAAAATACCCTGCCCCACCCTAGGAACCTTAAAAAAGTTTTCATTTGTATCAATGGGAACTTTTTTCATAAGCCTCCTACTGTACCAGGTTGTGGAGGTAGGGAAACTGTCTTTTTAGGTCACTACCAGAGAGAAAATAATAATAGTTTCCCTCGTGCTTGTAATTAATTAAGGAAAAATATATGTGTGGTCGCTGGGGATTTTCGTTCTAGGATGTTGTGATTTCTCAGATTTCTCCCTAAAATCTCACATTGGCACAAAATCTAAGTATGATATCAAATTATATAACTTGTTCAACTCAACAGATTAAGCAGTTGCACTCAGGCTACCCTGAAAGGACTCCTATTTAAGTAGTTGTTACAATCTAAAAGTAAACCACCTCAATCTCTGCGTACAGGGATAGCAATGGTGGGTGCAGCCGGGAAGATTTTTTAGAAGGCAGAATAGAAAGAGGCCCAAGTTGCCTTTCAGCTGCTAAATAAGTGATGCTGCAAGATTATTTTTCTGGACTGGGCTACTAACTTAGTCAAGATCCTATTTCATGAAATTACAGTACTGTATCTGCCATTCATAAAATTACAATCAGACCTCTTGGATCCTCAAAAATAGCATTTCGATTGATTGCAATCATGAGAAAAAAATCCATCTATTGAAAATCATGTGCAATGCCTTTGCCATAGCAGTCAACTATTCCTAAGCCATTTACATCCAAATTCCATTGTGAATTTTTCCCAAATGTTATTCCTTCTTTTTAATTTAATTTTAAAAAAATCATCAGGCAGGAGCTCCATTTTGCTTCTTGGATTGACCATGAACAGTTGCTTTTATTGTCTATATAGAAATTAGCTCAGTAAATTAAGGCAGGTGCTCATTATTTAAGGGAGCCATTTAGGTAGTAACAGGAAGGAATAGCACTGCTGTATATTATGAAAAGTCACACAAGCTAGGAAAAATGGGGACTGCTAGCAGTACTATCACTACCTAAGCAGCTTCCTTAAATAACAGACAGAATGTGTTGGGTCAACCGAAGAGGAGGGAAATAACTGTGACAAGAACACTTAACTTCAAAAGATTCCTTAATTATAAATACATTTTCCAAAAATATTAGCTGCTTACTAAGGGTCATATTGAAAATAAACATCGTGTTCCATGTAGAAAATATTCAGACAGGATGTGTCAGTCTTCATACTGACATTTACTCTGTCCAGACCACCTGAATTAACTTGGCTGGGACCTGCTTCTGGCACATACAGTATGCCTGAAGCTTGAGCTCGTTGCAATGTAGTGCTCTATAAAACCTTATATAAACTGTGCCATGTCCTGAAATTCCTCTACACAAACATCATTGAGACTCAGGAATGTGCAACTCTACTAATACTGCTTTTCTAAACCTATGCATTGCCTGTGGAAAACGGTATTTATTCCAGAGTTATACTGGAAAGATCTGTGGGTTTGGGCAGTAAAATTAAGCTTTTGTAGTGGTTGGTTTGTTTCGAAACATTCTCAAAATATTTTTAGACAACATTCAGGTTTGTAACATAGTTTGATAATATGAGTTCCACAGTGTTGATTTTAAAGTAATGTTTGCAAAAGTTTATCCAAAACATGCTGTCCTTTCAATCTTATAATCCCTAAACCATAAAAGTCTAATCAGAAGCACCATATCATATAATTATGCATTAGTTTTATTGCTTTCCTAATTAATATATATTTCTGCTTTAAAAATCATTTTTCCCTCAGCCCATTTTTTTCTGAAGATACTTTTAGACAATCATCATTCACTTCCAACTCAAAAGATCTGTCTAATGAGAGTGCTGTTCAGGGAAGGACAACAGTTCTAGGTATGGAACATTAATTACATTTTAGTAACAACATGTTTCAGATACTGTGGTAAAAAGTGCTAAACATAATAATATATCAAGTAAAAATAGTGTGATTAATTTTATTTGGCTTAGCATGAATTATTATTAAATTTGTTGGGGGTTGGAAAAAAATAATGATTAATTGCATGGAGAAAATGGCATTGTGTCTATTTATTTATCAGTAAGATATTGATTCAAGGCTGAAAATCTGTGAGAAGGAACATTAATTAGAAATTCCACAGCATATAGAATACTGGGAAGAATGTTCATCTATAGCAGTTATTTTATTTCCTGGATTGCTTTTTCTCTTATATATATATTTAGTGGCAATATTTTCATGACAAAATAAAATTTGCCTGGTTCACCCACATGCATACATCACATAGTTGCCATT